ACCTCTTTCTGGAGCACGATTGATAGTTTGTGACTTTGCGTAGTACGTACTACGTAGTTACTTTAATGGGGAAAAAATAGGAAGGCTTAATAAAACTAAATGGAAGTATAATGGAATATAGACAGGCTACACACACGTCGTCCAAGTTTTACTTTTAACGGAAGTAGATAACCGGGGATATCAAAACAATTAGTACAATACCTGAAACATGTGGTACAACTACATTTTGCTTAAGTGTTACACCGACATTTTTATCATTCCTAAAATGCCCTAACCATCATTGGTGTTTATAAGTTTTTAGATTAGATTAGATTTAGATTAGGGAAAATGGAAACTAATAATCCAACCTTTTAGCGGTCTTCTTTCAATAATCCCACCTTTTGATTATTCATGAATAATCCAACCTTTGCACCTCATCTTCATTCATTGGTCCCTGGTCGGTTAATGACCTACTATTCCAAGTTATTTTCTTATCTTTGCAAAATATTATCTTTGTGAAAGATGAGATTTATGGTATAATGATTTGCAAAGATAAGAAAATAGCTTGGAATAGCAGGTCATCAACCGGTCAGGGACCAGTGAATGAAGATGAGGTGCAAAGGTTGGATTATTCATGAATAACCAAAAGGTTGGATTATTGTAAGAAGACCGCTAAAAGGTTGGATTATTAGTTTCCATTTTCCCTTTAGATTATGTCATGCCCCAGACCGCATATAAGCGCATATACAACCGCCGTATGACTGAGTGACGGTCACTCACAAGTCAACACCACTTAATCATACAAGGAGCCCATGAATACAGATTGCGCAACATATACCAAAAGAAAGGGCATAATTGATGTTGGTTGTCTTTATGATAGATTTTTCCATGGCACATGGAAGAGCATAGCCCTCATAGATTGGTACACCGCAAGTGATGACCTCCTCACCAGAGTCCAAAGAGCATAGCACTAGTGCAAAAAACGTCATCTGCGGCGGTTCTGGAGAGCCATGCGCGGCGGTTTTGACCGCCGCAAACGGGTACTGACGCAAATAAAAAACGCGCGGCGGTTATTAGTATAAAAACCGCCGCATATTTAATTAATTAAAAAAATTGAAAATTAAATAACGTGCGGCGGTTATTACTATCAGAACCGCCGCATATTCATTAATTTCAAAACATTATGGGTGGCAGTTATTAGCATAAAAACCGCCGCTGATTTAAAATTAAAAATAAAAATTTCAAATGTGCAGCAGTTATTAACGAAAGAACCGCCGCATATTTTAAATTTTGTAATTTTTTCAAAAATATGATATATACCTATTTTAATTAATAGAAATATAAACCCATACAATCTACAACACATAACAACATAATCAATCATGGCTTTCAATTGAAAACTCATTGATACATCAAAACGTAAGTTTTAATTAAACTTTAGAATTAATACTTTGTACAAAGACTTCTTGTCAAAGTTACACATCTAAATAACAATTAAGCTACATCACAAGGACTAACTACATTAAGATGTTGTATTAACTTCCACATCTCAGGAATTCTTATTTCTTCACTCTCATCTTCAAATCCAATCCTGAAATATATTAAACATAGTTCCTTAAAAACAAAGTAAATTAACAATTGATACTCTTTAGTAAATCAATAAACAAAATTAACTAACTATTAACATTCTTTAATTAGCTACTCGGTACTTAATTAAGTATTAACATATCGAATGTTATATAATGATCAGATATGAACCTGAAAGAATTGCCTCAATTGGCTGAAAGCATGAAATAATCTAACTTACTCAAACCACATAATCTGCAAGAGAAATCAACTTGTTTGTTAAGATGGAATTCAAAATCTCATCCGCACTGCTTTTCATATTACATTCGCACTTGATTTTAATTTATAACTAAAAAAAATAGAAGAGTTCCCCTTATTCCAATATAATGGGCACATTCAAGTATTCAACTATAAAACACAGAATAGTTCCCAAATAAATAATAATGAGCACACTATGATATAATTTCGTTTGATATAATTTCAATATGAAATTTGTTAATGGATTGCAGGAAAGATATGAATAATTCTACGAGTCTTGTTTCATTGTACCTTTTCTTTGCACTTTGTTTTGATTTTCCTCCATGCCACTTTGATATTTATACATTCCAAGTACTCAAGATGTGAAGGGGTTCTCTGTTAAAGACATTAGACATAAATTTAGACACCAGTGATACGAAGTTGTCTTAACTTCCATTTGTACATCAAGAAAAATTACACACCACATATCATGAAATTCATATATTTCTTCAATATGACTCTCTTCAAATCCAACCCTGAAATAAATATTAAATATAATTTATGAATAACCAAATAAATTAACAATTAACGGTCTAACAAATCAATAAAGAAAACTAAATAACTATTAACATTCTTTAATAAGAACTTAATTAAATAATAACATCGCCAATATAATGATCATAGATGAACCTGGGAGAATCGCATCAGTTGGCAGAAATAATTTAACTTCTCCAGCAACAGAATCTGCAAGAGAGATCAACTTGTTAGTGAAGATGGAATTTAAAATCACATCTGCGGTACTTTTCAAATTACATCTGCACTTGATTTTTGTAACTTCAAAAAACAGAAGAGTTCCCACTACTAACCATATAATAAGCACACAATATATAGCGGCACATTTAACTAATAATGAGCACAAATTACTTCCAAATAAATAATAATGAGCACACTAAACATATCACTTTAGTATGCTATGTTTGACAATTATATGCCTTTGCATATATGTTAATAGAATAATTATCAGCTTAAGGCAAGTAACGTGCATGGGAAATAGAAACGACTTCAAAGGATAAACAGCAACAAAAAGTGCAATATAGAAACAGAAATAAATTCAAATTTTCATAAGAGATAAAAGAAGGGGCCTTGAACGCAAATAACACCTTCGATAAACACGATCAATGGATCAGTTTTCACTTGTTGTGGAGGAACGCAAGCTGGTTACCTTGACATACTTGAGCCAAGCAAACCATAAATTCAAACTTGTTAGGTAAATTAGGAATCACACCCTCTATGTCACAATAAAAGTAGGTACACTATGGAAAAGCAACAACAAGAAACTAACCATATGCACACATTCACAGTGATTGTATACATTAGGGACTTCATGATCCAAATGACCCAGGTAGCGAATTAGGTACTCCACGAAGTATGCAGCAGATTAGACGGTGAAGTAGGCAGCGAATTGGGCAAATGAATCTCCTAATTACTCCAAATCAATGGTTAAGAAGCATCATTTCTATTGTCCTCAATTTAACTCTGAGATGACGGTGTTGTACAAGAAATGCCAATGTATGAGTATAACAGAGTCTCATACAGAGTAAAGAAACAATAAATATATTTTACGGAGTAATATACTAGTAATATATTACACCACGTACCTCCTCTTTTTGATTTTCTGGCTAGGTATGAGATGTTATCACCATCACAAAAGCTTAAAATTCAGGCCTATATCATTCGGAAAGATGACTATAGTGTTATATAGTCGATTAAGAAAATTGAATCACATGTAAATGATTTGAATATTCCTATCATACACACAAAACAATAAAATCATATCTTAAATCTTAAATCTTATAAACGAAATAAATTAAATAAATATAAATTAGAACCCAAAAGAAGCATAAATCGAGCGAGGTTGAGACTTGAGAGATGCCTGAACCAGGAAAAACGAAAATTTTCGCCTCAACTTGTTGTCATCGCAGTCTTTCCTGTCTCCGCTGCCCATCGTAGCCATCATTGCTGTCGTCGCTGCGCGCCACCGCTGCGCGTCGTCGCAGTCCTTGCTGTCATCGCCTCCATTCGATATCGACCACCGCTTCATACTCTTCGTCGCCACGATTAAGCTAATACTGGAGCAGTCCGTGAAGATCGAAGCCGCCGTTGAAGAGCCCTAGAATGAAGATTAGGGTATTTGTTTGATGGGAGCTGCGATCTGCGGAGTAAATGTTTAGGTTAGACATATCTACCAATTTGTGGCGGTTGTTATTTAGCAACCGACACGCGTACTTCATTTTACCAATATCAGTGGCGGTTCATTTACTCAAACCCGCCGCCCATGTTTGGAAGTACTCTTTCTTGTTGAATGCGTCGGTTTTTTAATGGAATAACCGCCACAATTTTATTCCGATTTTTTCAAAAAAAAAATATAAATTAAATTATTTGCGGTAGTTTTGATATAAAAACCGTCGTGCGTACCTCGAAAATTTTAATTTGCATAATATGTGGCGGTTTCTCCATAACCACCGCGTATCCGATGCCGCAAATCAGCGTTTTTCCACTAGTGTAGCCCTCATAAATTGGTACAACGCGAGTGATGACCTCCTCACCAGAGTTCAAAACTATGTCTGGGAAGGGAAATTAAACAACCAACAACACCAAGGATCAACAATAAGTTTATAATTTAATTCGAGCAGATCACTGCATATTGGCATCCTCATAACGCGAGTTTTGGAGAAGGCTACCATCTCAATTAACATTTAACAGTTTAGGTTCAAAGATTTTTTTCAAGAAAAATTTAAAAGTTACAAATTGGATTTATTCCCCACGAATTACACCAATTAATAAAAAGCCTTTTGATTTATGCCCAACAAATTACACTAATATTTAAAACAATTTTAAATTTTGCGATGGCCTGGGGCCATCATGGCCCCCTAACTCCGCCGATGCTTTTGGTGACACACCAACACAATAACCAGAGCCAACGAACTACGAGAATCTTTAATGGTGCCACTTACCAGTAGTGAGACCACTCAAATACAAGGAAAGAACATCCTAGTTATTAGCAATATACATGGCGGGGGTACAGAATTTTTCAAACATGACCTCCGTCACTTTTTCACAATTAGCATTAGGGTTAATTAAGAGAAGCTTCAGTTAGAACTTAGGAGCACCAAGTGCTCTTCTGGAGCAGCACAGAGGGAATCATAAAATGTGTGTGCCAGATTTTCTCATGTCATCGCATTTGGTAACAATACCATACTCAATTGGGTACCTCGGCATCAAAAGTTGCTTATAAGGTAAATATTTATGAATGCTGGTATGGACCATCAAAATAGAAAAAAGAACCAAAATGGAGATTCATATTCTATTATAACTTCAAAGCTCACAAAAACAAAAAGAAAATTAACTTATCACCAAAACTGAGCACCCCAATGCACATTGGCGTCTCCCCAAGTTGAGGGTCCAAGAAAGAAACTCTAGCTCAAGGGTGTATCAGGGGCCAGACTTCCTTTATCATCTTGACTATAGGCCTCTCTCAAGACTTATCATGACCTATCACTTTATTGAGCACAAAATATCTAAAATATCATTTTCCCATGTGAACATAAAAAGGAAACGTATATGAAAACAATGTTTATCGAAGAATTAGAAGCACTTTCTGTGCACAATCGATGGACCGTACTCATTGTACTCAGTTCCTTTAATCCACATCTGCACAAGGAAAAACTCAAATGTCATAGTGGACAAAGCACAAATAAACTAATACTCCCTCCATCCCGCTAAGATTGTCCTAGACACTATTCACTTGGTCAACACAAATCACTCTTAATGTCTTACTTTATATATCAATTTTTTCATCAAATTTGATTCTGATTTTTGCGACTTTGTAAAGTGTTTAATATAGTTTCAGAATATGTAATTTTTTCTTTCTAAAAATAATTGGAGTGCGGACAGACATCTGTTTGCTTTATCGTCGGTCAAAACATCTTAAACTGAATTGTCCCAAACTTAGTGGGACGGAGGTAGTATCGGATAAAGCAGCGTGCGTGCAAGCATGTGAGTGTACTCCTTTAGCAGGTTCCAGTTAGACTCAAACCTGTTCGAATGAACTGAGAGAGGCTAAGATGGAGCCTCCAATCCAAGCACTGTTTTGCCTCTCAGGTGGTGCCACAACCTTAATCTTCATGTTGCTACGGGCCAAAGAAGTCATTTCTTTGGTCATTCTATCAATAATGCCAGGGAACATGGTATTACCACCACTAAGCACAATGTTACCATAAAGCTCCTTCCCAATATTAGCATCACATTTCATCACAGAGTTGTGCATGGTCTCATGAATTCCTGCAACATCCATTCCAATCATCGAAGGCTTGAAAAGTGGCTCAGTGCAACGGAACAGCTCAGCACCCATAGTGACCTTGTTCCCATCAGGAAGCTCATAGATCTTTTCCGCCGTAGAGCTAGATTTTGAGGTCTCCAACTCCTGCTCAAAGTCGTGTGCTATGTAAGCAAGCTTCTCCTTGATGTCAACAAAAAATTCTCGAAACCCTGTAGTGGTTAGGTAATGCTTTAGGTGCACCACAGGCAAGACCATTACACCCGAATAGAGCTTTCATAATATTTCATGTAATATATTTAGGAGAGAATTACATAGTTTTAAATTCCATAGTATGACTAATTATGTGTATTTGGACAAATATACCCCTGTAGATTTTTGGACTAAAAAATATTTAATAAAATTGATAAAAATAAAAAAATCGAAAAAGAAAAATAACAAATTAAAAGGAAATAAAAAATAGAAAAATAAAATAAAAATTAAAAAATAAAGAATAAAAAAACGTAAAAATAGACACCGATGCCTCTGCCACCCCCACATCACTAGCTCCAATCACAAGAGAAAAAAATGGCAACAGACAATAGTAATGCCATATTTATGGCAGTTTCGATGAAAATGTTGGCATTATCAAGAGACATAATGCCATTTTCTTGGCATTTTTCAGAAAAAATGGCATTTTTTATTACAAAAATGACATTTTGTTTTACAAAAATGACATATTTTTTCACTGGTAGGAGGTGGTGGTGGTGCTAGAAGGCGGCGGGCGGGAAAGGCATCCATATTTTTTATATAGTTTTTTACTATTTTTTATTAATGTTTTTTTCAATATTTTTTGAAAAAAATATTTTATTAATTGTTTTATTTTTTTACCATTTTTTTAGGATTTTATTGTCAATTAATACTCTTAGGGGTATTTAGGAAAGAAAATTAATGTTTAGTCTTATTTGTGAATAATTTAGGCTTTAGTCCTATTTGTGAAATTAAGTTTCCATTTAATCCTACTTAGGTCAATTTTTATATAGTTAAACATTGTTTGCTAGAACTAAATTTGGTTGGTATCTTCTCAAATTGTTTAAGTTATAGGAGAAATTGATGGATTGGGAAAATTCTTTTAAATTATGAAATAATTAAACTTTTAATTTTTAGTAAAACATAAAAAAAGTAAATGAAAAAGATTAAAGGTTCCCAATTGATTCAATACAGCCATAAAATACCTCCAAACTTACTTTGTTCCTTTACTAATCAATTTAGTATATTTTGTCAAAAAACTGACTTGAAAGCAAAAAATCATGGCTACCAAACGGGCTCTAAATAATGAGTGTGACGTATGTAATCTTGGTAGTATACTTTTTATCCGTTTAAAGTGAACTAATACTACAACATGTTTCATAATGATACTAGTAATACTTCATTATTACTATCCAAATGATATACTATAAAGATATGAATGAGTGTAGTAACCCAACTGTACAACATACGAAAGTTCTCGGAGTAACCGTCACTTCTCTCCCTGAAAAGATTCGCCAAATGATCCGTCAAGTCACAACCGGCAAAATCAAGACGAAAGATGGCATGTGGGAGAGCATAGCCCTCATAGATGGGAACTGTGCAAGTGACACCATCACCCGAATCCAAAACCATACCTGGACAAGGATTGATAGTAACTAACACAAGGTTCATCAATGTTAATGTATAAGTTTCTTTTAAAGTTAAAATCAATTGAAAACTATTATAAATTAGAAGGAATTCAAGAATCTGATCAACCATCAATTGGAAAAGGCTTACTTACCTGTGGTACGACCACTTATATATAAGGCAAGAACAGCCTGAATAGCAACATACATGGCAGGCGTCTGGAATGTCTCAAACATAATCTCTGTCATTTTTTCACGATTAGCCTTAGGGTTCAGAGGAGATTCGGTTAGGAGCACGGGGTGCTCTTCTGGAGCAACACGAAGGGAATTATAAAATGTGTGGTGCCATATTTTCTCCATGTCATCCATATTTGTAACAATACCATGCTTAGTTGGGGACCTCAAGCGTAAAATACCTCTCTTAGCCAAAGCTTCATCTCCTACATATGCATCCTTTTGACTCATGCCTACCATGACACCCGTATAGCGGGGCCGACCAACAACGCTAGGGAAAACATCTATTGGAGCATCATCTCCCGCAAGCCCAGCCTATAAATTGGACCATGCATTATAAGAAGGAACTACTTTATACAAGAAAGTAAGATTGTGACGAATGATGAGTACCTTGGTCACTCTAGACCCATTGTCAACGACAATCGATTTAACCTTAAATGCTCCTTCCATCTTTTGTCACCTCCTATGGAAAAAAAAATACAACTTTGATAAGTCTTTAATCTTTAAAAAATTATAAGAGGGAATGAGAGTAAGGGTTTTTTAGATATGAAAATGTGTTGATGTAACTTTGTGTTTTAATTATTTGTACACCAAGATAAGCCCATTATACGTGTTTCTATTAACTTTCAGTTCTAGGTTTTCTTGATTGAATAGTAGACTACTTAAAATTAATCAAATCATAAATTATTTTTTATTGATTGCTTTCTTTAGGGGGATGACAGGGATTGCGAGAGAAGAAGGAAAGAAATGTGGAGAAGCGCTTTCTCCGGTTTTCCCCAACCGAAGTATTTATATCAATGGTGAGGATTGAGAAGGGCATTAGAGAGAAAACGATTGATTGCTCCAAATGAATCATGTTATCCGGTGGGAGTGGCTTATAAATTACAGCACTGGTTGCTAACCTTGGGGATTCTCCGGGTATCATTGGTGTTCTGAATAAAACAACCTAGGAATTCTATGTTGATCATTTGACCTATGAACACATTGCATACCTCTTCTATTCTGGTTAGGGGTGAATTAAATCCACGCATCCTGATGATCTTCATATTGTCATTTACAAAAATCGTGTTTGGCACATTAAAGGCACCATTCAGGTACTTATTTGTTATGTTTTGGTATAGTTATGTTTAGTTTCCTCAATTTTATTATCTTTTGCTGGATTTTTTAACGTATTGTTTCCGTGTAGAAATATATAGCTTATTATTTTTAATCAATTTATTTATTGCGCGTATGCTCTCAGTTGTTCAGTGTATGCATTCTCTCAAGTGTTCTCTAATGTACTCTATAACAGGCTAATTAGAAGACCGTTTAGATTAGTAAATCTTTTCTGTTGTTATTACTGTAAATTAAAAAGATTGTACTTTTTCTGCTGGAATATCACCTAGCACGCACAAGTAAGAATAGCCAAACTCAATGAATGACATTGCACTCTTTAGGACAAGCCTTTAATATCCAACATAGGTGATCTATGGGAAGATGCATGATAGGAACGTTGAGATTTTAGCTACTTCTTCTATTCTTTAATTGCAGTGGAAAATCAAAATTGACACCAGTATAAATGGAGTGGGAACTAATGCAAATAATTTTACCAAAACAAAAAAAAACATAGTAAACAGTTTAATTATAAAAGAACTTAAGCAGAACATTGCAGCACGTGAATACAACAACAACACCCAAGCCTTAATTAGTTCCAAACGATTTTGGGGTCGGCTAACATGAATGGATACATGATATCGCAACCAAAAGGAAAAGAAAGATGAAAAAGATAAAAAGATAAAAAAAAAAGCTAGGATAACAAAAGGATAATATGAAAAGAAATGGATATAGATTACAAATGATAGAATAAAAAGGATAACAAAAATTATATATATATATATAGGGTAAGGTTCAAGTGAGAAGAACCCTTTGGGTGAGAAATGAGAATGAATCTCAGTCATTGGATTTGACTAAGTTGCAGTAAAAGACACTTCATGATGCACTGAAATATGCAATCTAGCACGGTGGCATTTCTGTAAATACTTCTGAAAAATCCGTATTACACGTGTCTAGTGCAACATGAAGCTATTTCGGTGCATCGCCGTTAAATATTAGTGCAACATGAAACAGTTTTAGTGCAACATGTGCAAAATTTAAATATTACTGCAACATAAAGCCAATTTTAGTACAACTTCGTAAATCCAATGGCTGAGATTCATTCTCATTTCTCACATTAGATGCATTTCTCACTTGAACCAAAATCTATATATATATATATATATATATATATATATATATATATACATACACACACATATATATAAAGGATAAAAAACAAGAAAGTAAAAGAAGATGAGGAAAAAAGATGATAAGGGAAAAAGATGATAAGAGATCACTCCTCCACTCGTCTTCCACCTTGGCAATTCATATCCTACACTTTGTATTTTTGTAAATATACCAACTTCAAGCTAGCCTTTGAATAAGCATTGGCTCCATCCTCTTTCCTCTTCCGCAAGCATCCTCTTCGCTCCATCCTCTTTACTCTTCCACATGCATCCTCTTTTCTTTCCTTTCTTCCTCTTTTCTTTCCTCTTTTCTTTATTTTCTTCCGCCGCCATCCTCTTATTTCTTTTCTTCCATCGCCATCCATCATCCATTCCTGATTCTTACCTTCTAATTTTTTCTTTTTTTTGCTTGTTGGTTATACTTCTTTTGTTTTGTCTTTTTTTACTTGTTTTAGTTTCTTTATTTGTTGTTTACTTCTTTCTTATTCTTTATATATTATACTGAGGACGTTGGAAATTAGTTATACCTTAAACTCAAATGAGTAAAACGCCTAAAAAATGAACATAAACAAATGAGCTTTTGAATTTTTGGATACTCATTTTGTAAATTATGTATGTTCATTTACTATCTGTGTTATGCTCATTTTTAAAATGTGTTAGCAATGCATATCTCAAAAGTATCATATAACATTATATTTATATAAGAGTTGATTATAGACACGAGACTGCGAATCATGATACTCAAATCACAGATTCTATTACTCAATAACGGAGGTTTGATGCTCACTGAAAATGTCTTGATGTTCAATGAACAAAACTTACAATTTTCATATTAATGCTAATCTTGTAAATTACATATGCTCATTTGTATAGCACTACAAAAAACATCGAAATAGGCACGAACTTGGCACGGATTTGTCAAGTTTGGCACGGATTGCAACTTATTTTTGGCACAGCGCCGTGCCAAATAGCTGGTGTAACATCCCAAATTTTTGATTGGATAAGTTAGATAAGTTACTCAGTGAGTTAAATATTTTTATTTTCTGAATAATATGATTTATTATTTTATCTTATGTTATCATTTTTTGTGGCAGATAGTGTTGACCGATAAGCTTCAGGAATTAAAAAAAAAAAGAAGTAAATAATCTACTGAAGTTATCAGCTTATATTTATTTTTAAAATATTTATTTTAATTAGGTCAAAATTCTACTATCAGAACTAGAAACATTTGTTTTAGCAGACTAAGACACTCAAATCAGTTATCTTGCCCGAATCTATGTTTTGGTTAAAAGCCCTAAAAGGAATAGTATATATATACACACCGCCTTTGTTTCTTTTTCCACCGACAGTAGCCGCATCATCTATTTAAATCGATCGGGAACCAATCTCCCTGTTTTCCCCTTTCCTCCTCTTCATTCGAAGGTTTTCTACTCAATCGTTTTTCAAAGTCCCTTGTATCACCGCCTCTATCTGGTAAGTTTAATTTTCACTTTTCAGTCTTCTTTGCTTTTGTTAAAGGTTTTACTCTCGTGATTTTAAGTTTACGTTCAAAACGGGAGGCTGTTTTGGTTGGACAATTTTTGGGTGCTAAGGTCTGGTTCTTAGTTATATATATACATATATTTGGATTAGGCTTCTTGAGTTTTAAATCTGATTGAGTTCTTGTTGCCCATTTGGAATTCTGGAAAGTAGGGTTCAAAGACAAAACTTAATTTTGTTGCTAACGTTGTTAAAACCCAGGCAGCTGGACATTTTATGTCTTATAGCATCACTCGATTCTGATTTTAAGAGATTTAAGTCTTCAGATAGATATTTTTCTCAATTTTCTAATGTATATAGATTCTATTTCAATAGCGGGCATCAGTTTTGCGTTCAATTAATAGGGCAATTGGATTTCATTGTTGCAGCCATATTCTTTATCTTATCCGTTGGGTTTGCTTATAAAATTTACTTGATGTGTGGTTGAGGCATATTGGATTGGAGAGAGTACTTTTTGAATTGAGGGCTGCTACTAATCTCAGCTAGAAGGAAATCTTTTAGTCAGTATAGAAGCACTGAACAACGATTTCCTAACCTCATTTAAGCAGTACACGAATAAACTAGTAAATTTTATTAGAAATGGCTGCATAGATGTAGCAAAAGATTTCCTTAGTTTAATATGGTTTAAGACATCAGATCATAACTATTTTATTATATCTAATTAAAGATTTCAAAGAAGAGCTTACCGGGAGACGTTATCAAGGTGCCACACTTATTTTGAGTAATTTGAGTTCAGCTTCTATCAGGTAAGTCACCACCACCTATACATGATAGTTCTAAATAAAGTAGGGAAGATTAGTTAATTGTGAATTTGATGTATGTGCTTGAATGCTTGAAATTGTATGGCATGAGATATGTGAATTTCCAGTTATATGTTTGATTTTGGGTTGGATTCATATGGAACCAACAATGAAAGGAAGTGAGAATGATAATGAATGTAATGAAAGTTAAGTAATGTGACAAGGTAGCCGTGCCCCCAAGTAACTACCTGAGCTGAGCGGAGCGGGACATCCTTCCGCGGGGAGTCCCGGGGTTGCTTCTGACGACTGAGGGCTAGCTACCCGAGGTCATCAGCGAGGGGCCAGGACACGAGCTACGGGCCCATAAGTCAAGGAATAAGAAGAAGAAAGAATGATGAATAAGGAAATTTCTTGGTGTTTGACACATGGATGCTTATGTGTTGTTATCATGTGGGGTTATAGTATATGTGTGATGTATTCAGCATGGATATCTATTTATGATTAGCTATGATTCCCTAAATGTTTTTAGTGGATAAAATGGTGACTTACTAAGCATTATTGCTTATGAGAATTCTATTCTCTTATGTTCTCATGTATAGGTAATAGACGAGATACAGAAGCCTGAGAGAATGTATGGAGCCGGTGACAAGGTTTTGGATGGGTTAACGGAGAAGATCGGGCAATCTATTATGTTTTGTTTTAGTACTACGGTACTGATATGGGTTATTTTAATATTTGTTTTAAAATCCTGATCAGGTGTAAATGTTTTGTTTAAAGGCATTTTCTTTTGGTTATTTGACGTTTTTGTTATGGGATTTGGTTATGTATATAAGATATAAAGTTTCATGACGAGACATTGTATCTTTATTTTCACTTTGATTATCGAGTCTCTTTAATGTTGGGTGTCGTAATGGTCGTTTTGGGGACGGTCGTTACAGCTGGTGACTAAATGACATTGGCACGGAATTTGGCACGGAATTTGGCACGGATTTAACGCATCCTTGTCAAATCCGTACCAAATACCCTATGAATTTTGTCAAATCCGTGCCAAAAATCCGTGCCAAATTCGTGCCAAAATCATTGTTTTTTAGTAGTGTAGGTCCGATGCTCATTAAAAATTCCTTAATGCTCATTTTACAGAAATAATGATTTTCATCGATGTCAATAGAGAAGGTTTGATGCTCAATGAAAATGTCGTGATGCTCAACTAACAAATCAACTAACAAATTAATTAATACTGGTTTTGTAAGTTACGTGTACTCATCTGGTACTAATTTTATGCTCATTTTATAAATATTGTATCAATGCATTTTTTTAAAAGCACTATTTTATGTTAGACTCTGAATACTCGACATAATAGGTTTGATGCTCATTAAAAGATCATTAATGGTCATTCACAGGAAATTGTGATTTTCATCTCAATAACGGAGGTTTGATGCTCAATTAAAATGTCGTGATGTTCAACTAACAAACCTTACGATTTTCACATCAATGTGTACTTTGTAAGTTATGCATGCTCATTTAGTACTGATGTTATGCTCATTTTTACAATGTCATATCAATGCATATTTCAAAAGTATCATATTACATTAGACTCGCATATTGAAATTAATAAGAGTGGATTATAGATATAATTTAATAAGTTTTTATAAGAAAAAATAAGAAAAAGAAAAACAATTAGAAGATATGAAGCAGAGATCGTGATACTCATTGTTGGCTTCCTAATACTCAATAAAATAGGTCAGATGCTCACTAAAAGTACAATATTGCTCATTTAGCGGAAGTCGTATTTTTTGCTTAAATTAAAAAAATGTCACCGAAAAATTGGCTTGTATTAGTTGTTGGGCTCTCTTCATAGGGTGTACATACACCTGGATTGGATGTATGATATAGGCACTCCTCCACCTTGGTCTCTAAAAGAATGTTATGGTATTTAAAAGAATAGTTTACTTTCGTTTATGTGAGATAGTCCCCCGTCCCCCTAACTTTGTCCCATTTTACCTTTTTCGTCCGTCCATTAAGTTTGTTTCATACCATATTTGATATTATTTGGGTGGTTACAATTGATTCTTACTTTATTCACACTTTATCAATTCAATATCAACCACACAATTCCACTTTTTCTTAAAAATTGTGTCAGGCTCCTTTATCTCAAACATAGTGGGACGGAGATAGTATTATTTTGGAAATTAACAGTCACACCGGTCACTAGATCAAATTAGTAGGAAATAGATCCGACTGGAACTCTATATTACGGAGTATAAATTTAAAAGCTCCCTCTTAGGTTTGGAAAACTGCAACTCTTAAATCTTAATAATTAAATTTGCACATGTGAAATCCTTTATTGGGATAGGATAATTTTGTATCTTGGTTTTAAAATGCAAAAATGTAGTAGTTACATTTTCATTTTTCTTATAACTACTTGTTTAATAAGAGCCTTTGATTCGTGGGTCCTCTTGCAGCTAAAGGTTTAACCTGCTTTCGTAACCTAATAGTGATGACTAAATATAAAGCCCTTTGGTAACCCTTTTTTTCGGCTTATCAGGCTTATCAACCAATTTTCACCAAACACATTAATTTTGATTTTGCGTGCTGAATTGTGTAATAATAATAATAAAAAGTAAGGTTGGAGTTGCTTGAAAAAGTTGGCCGAACACTTCCAAAAAACACCTATTCCAGGTACTGGTGCAACTGCTACTGAAGAAGACGATGATGACGTGCCTGAGCTGGTGGAAGGTGAAACCTTTGAAGAAGCCGCTGCAGTTGAAGATCATAAGTAAAACTTGCCTAGTTTTTGTGTGATTTGAGTACATTTTTGTTAATTATCTATGCTTCACCGTTGTTTATTGAAACAATGCTTGAACTCTACAAGTATTGAATTCACTTAAAAAAAACTTTTAATTTGTGGTTGTATTGACTGAAGTTATTGTAGATGATCATTTCAGTTAGAACTTCATAAATTTTAGCAGAATCAGCCAATTCAGCCAATTTCAGTGTTACCAAACGAGCTCATAATCCCAAAATTAGTTTGAAGTATCAATGAAACTACTAGATCACATTTTAAAAAATGGTTCACAAACCTACCCATAAAACTTACACTACAACAAAAAGTATTAATTATGTCCAAAGATTTCGCGTTGACATATGTGGACACGAACAATAGTTTCGGAAAAAAATTCCAAAAAATTATGAAAAAGAAGTTTTCGTGAATAGTATTCTTGTTGATGCTAATGATATTTACGAAACCCTAGCTACACTCATTGAGCTTGTGAGTTGTGAGCCTATCTTTGCTTCGTTCAGTTGTTTTATGTTTTGAATCAATGGGTCCGCTAACAGCTAACTACTCCTGGTACGAGTTCAGTGTTTCCTTTTACTTACATAAAAGCTACTTAAAAAATCTTTTCTTTCGAGTAATTAGAATCTTTCTAGGTTGAATCACAAGATAAGTTAAGAGACCTTCAAGCTTTTCTATCGACTTTGATTATACAAATTTTTACCTTATGAAGGACTGTTGTATGCTCAATTTTTGCTACTGCAATTTCAACTATTTTCATCATGGAAATCATTTTAAATAAAAAAAAGTAGTACACAAGTTAAAGGAATACTTCATTAGATATGTCCACATTTATAATACATTTTGATACGTGCGCTTGGGTTTATATTCCTAAAGAGATTAGGTACAACAACAACATCAAGCCTTATGCCCTAATTCTCAAAAGAATTTGGGGTTGGCTAACCTAAAAAGATTAGGGAAAGTACACTAAACTCCTTGACATCTCGGTGAGCGACTGATTAGGCTTTTCAGCCAAGAAATAGCAATTGTTTGCTAATTTTTCAGTTGATTTCCATTTTTCAGAATGAAATCGGAATTCTGTGTTTCTTATAAAGTCCAAGTAATCTCCTAAAATTACTGATAGCAAGAAGAAAACTTAAAAAGTTTAATAACAACCAAATACAGTGCCCTCAATAAAAGTATTAATTTTTCCATGCTATTACTTCCTCATTTTTGGAATAAACAATTTTAATGTTTGCCATGATGTGTATTCATGCTTATACATTGTTATATACATTGTTCTTATTGTTGTTGATTGCTAACCCTGGTTAAAAGTTCATCACAATTTATGCATTATTTATTGAATGGAGTGGTATCCATCCTTCAACTTGCTCATAGGTCAATAGTTGTGGATGACCTATGTCAATTGTTTTGTATGACAAATTAGTTCAATTTAAGGAATGCATAGTAAATGTTGTGGCTTCCAACATAGGGCAAATTGAGGCCCAGAGTTCTATTTCAATGAATAGATTCCACTTTTGGCCTACGCGTTTTGCACCAATTTCACAATTGATTCACGCCTTTGATTTTGATCACTTTTGATATATGACTATTGTATTTTTGTCCATATATAGTCCTTCTGTCAATGTTTCTGGAGGTTAAAATTGCTAGAAAAGGATCACAAATGGTTAATAAATATTAGTCAAGAACCAAAAGCGGACAAAGTGAAAGATGTGACTAAATGTGGAATTAACATAAAACTAAAATGACCACAAGTGGAATTAACTCTATTTAAATGGACATATGTATTTATTTTTAAGGTTTCACATTTTTCTTTTCTTTGCCAACAAAAAACGAATTGCAAAATATAATTAAAGATTTGGGTTGCACAATACATTGGGCACAAAGGTAGGATGCCTATTTATATTCTTTATTCAAAAATAATAAAGGGAATCAATCATTAGAAGTAGTAGTATTGAGAAATATATTACTTAAAAATAGGATGGACATATTGATATTTGTTGTTGTACTAAATATAAATATATGATTAAAAAAATTACAATACAAAATTTTACACATTTTGGAAAATGTATGAATACATTTAATTTATAATTACTTTGAATAACACCACCTTTTATATGACAATGTCTACCACCTCTTTTATTTTGTAGCTCAAAGCTGAACTCTTTAACGTTAACCCGACATAAACAAGCGATTTCAAACAAAAAAAAACTAAATTCCAACAAAATGTGACACATGCATATTGGATTAAGTCAATATAGTTCATGTTTGGTAGAGATAAGCTCTTAGCCTCTTTGTAGTTTTTATACTTTTTAAAAATGTCTAAAAACTTTTAGGACATGTTCACTTCACGGGTTACTAAACGGTGCTTACTAAAACCCGCGTTAATAAATGACGAATAAAATAAGCAACGTTGTAAGATCGTGTTTACTTCACAAGGTTTAAAACATCGTTTATCATTAAAATATACAAAATAACCCTATACATATATAGACACACAAACATTCATGAACACAAGTATTATGTGTAGACAGATCCTACTTGAGAGATTTTCGGTCAAACCAGAATGAGAACAAAAAGGCCATACGGCAGATCAAATTAAATTAATGCGCCGAGATTGATATCTATATTGCACAGGAACGGATGGGATAATGAAAATTTCACATTCATAACCATTGATTCACTTGCACATATATAACAATGAGAATTCATAAGAAACATTTGGGTACGGTGTAGATGGATCCATTAATATAATCGAAAACGAAATCCGAGTGTGCAGTACCTTTTTGGAACTCAAAAGCAGCGACGGAGAAAATTGAAGAAAGATGTGAGATAGACGACACAACTTCTTCTTCTTCGTCTTCTGCGAATCGATCGATCAATCGTATTAATTAGCGATAGATCAGTGCGGTTCTCTTCGGTCTTTGAGTGGGAACGAAGGCGTTGGAGTTTTGCATGGAGATTGAAGAAGAAACGGGAGCCATTGGAAGTAGGGTCGGGTCATATTAATGGATTTACCAAGTCTTTAATTTTGTGGGCCTATTCATTGGAAGTAGGGTCATATTAATGGATTTACCAAGTTTTTAATCTTGTGTAGTACCACTATCTTCCATCCATTTTGTCTCACTTCGATTTGGCATGATTATTAATATATATGCTGGTTTAAAAAGTAAGTTGTTGTTGTTGAGGTTGACTATAATAAAGTGAAATGTTATATTTCACATATTTCTTTCCAAAAAAAGAAAGAAGACAGTTATTTTGGGACAACCCAAAAAGGAATTTAGAACAGATAAAATGGGATGGGGGAGTAAATGTTTTTAATTGAACTGAATTTTGCTGATTCGATTTGGTTTGATCTGAACTGGCCTGATTTGATTTCCTAAATGTATTATCTTTGTCTGATATGGCCTGTTCTGATCTGTTTAAATCTAGTACTAGTATGCTTTATTTAAGTTTGGTTTGAAGAGAATCAAAATGGACCACAACCATCCCAGGGAAGTGGCGCATTGGGTGGAGGCCCGCTTGAAGACGATACATACCCGAACAGCATTCGGGCAATAATCTTCTACTTCCTCATGCACTCACTACCGTTCGAGACATAGGAAGTGGGGGACTAGTGTTGGGATATTGAGTCCAGGCCCAATACCCCCGGCCCAAAATACAAGGAGGCCAGGAGAAGACACAGGCCCAAGGCAGTCCGGACCCGTTCGGCGCTCGGCACATTACTCACACTTGGAACATTTCGGGGAATCACTACACCTACATCCACAACAGGGTGCCGCACACCGATCGGCGTTCGGGATATTGGCTCTCAGGACAACAATAACGGGATATCCCAATATCGAACACCCTACCCGAACGGTTAGTCAGCAAGTGGAGGCCGCATTTAATGCTAAAGCATGGCGGCAGCAAGTGGGGGCATGGATTCCTACGTGGCAGGGGATATAACCTACCGGATTCAGCCACGTGTCCAGCTTTCCCATTCCCATTGTAGTATAAATACCTGCATTAAGATCATTGTATAGGGTTAGCATTTTAATACTCAGGGCTTAGCAAGTAGAAACACTTCTCTTATTCTTGTATTCTTGTACTTACCTACCGTTCGGGTAATTTCAGTGTAATCGCAGAATTACTGAATACAAGTGGGCTTCTGAGTCAATCAATATTTCACGGTTTTATATTTTACACTCTCCAAATCAACCCAATATCCCTACAATATCCAAAGCTTGTGTTGGGCTTTCAGATCTTCAGGCATAAACTTCAACAATAATAATTATTCAATTACTTTTTATTTTTTATTACATTCTATTTTTTATTGCATATTGATATGGAAACAAAATATTGTACAATCTTTTATAATCCACCTTTTTTGAGAACCTTTACTTACTTCATATTATTTGCAATATTTTGATACTACGTAACTTTTATAGACAAATAATTATATAAATTATTTAATTATTTTTGTAGTATCAAAATATATATAAAAGGTTGTGTATTATTTTGAAGTAAGTATCAAAATATTGCAAATAATACATAACCTTTTATCAAAATATTGCAAATAATACATAACCTATTAGTAAGTATCAAAATATATTTTGCAGTAAGTATCAAAATATTTATCAAATACACTATCTTTGGACAAAATATTATGTATCAACTTATATAATAAAAGTTACGTACTAATTATTGTAAAAAAACTACGTAATATTTTTGTAACAGTTATTTGATACTACGTAACTTTTATAGTCATCCCTACACATAAACTATATTTTATATAAATTAGTTAATTATTTTTAATACCTTTTATTTTTTATTACATTCTATTGAGAAATGAATTATCCGTGTTTTCCCCACCTAATAGATAAATCATCCAAATTCCTTTTAATTTTGTTCTTCAAAGTTATTTTATAAAAATAAAAAGGTAATAATAGTGTTCCATTTGCTAAATGTGATATTTTATTTTTCTAAACTCAATCTATTTTTTAGTATGTTTTTCTAAACTCAATGCGATAATGACTAAAATTATAAGCCTTAGATAGATTTGCAATTTTGTTAATACTTTCTTAGTTATTGGAAATTATAACCACAAGATTTTTTAACTTAAAAATGAAATTGATAACATGTAAAACTTCTGATCAAGTACCTTACCTTTATTAGGATAGAAATTCATATATGTTTATTTCTTTCTTTATTTTTACAACTATAATTTAAAGGAAAAATTGAAAATAATAATCCCAATTATTGCCGATTCGCTAACAATAATCTTAACTATTGATTATTTTTGTACAATCCCAACTATGTACAATCCATGACCAGATATTACCTCCTATAACAACTGAATTTGAAATAGAAATTAAGCGTAAAAATTAAAAGTTGAGATTATTTATAGGGATTAATTGCTATATCTCATCTCATCCACTTTAGAAACTACAAGAATTTATCTATAGGGACGACCATTATTGGCGGAAAGTCCCTAAAGTTGGAATTATTCTGGAATAATCAATAGTTGGGATTATTATGAGCGGATCGCCAATAGTTGGAATTATTGCTATCAATTTTTCCTAATTTAAATATTTCCTCACTTCTGTAATAGATTCCTAATCCAAATTAAGAAATCTTCATATATTTAGAATATTTTAAATCAACTGATTTCAATCTCAGACAAGATCAGATCAAACATCAATCATAATAACAAAAATTATTATTATTATTATTATTATTATTATTATTATTATAAATATAATAGACATCTTCCACACTGTATTACTTCAGACCAAATTAGAACTAAAAATGTCAATCTAATTTGATACTACCTCTATTCTTCTTATATTGGGACAGAAGGGGATGACACGATTTTTAAGAAAAGTGGGTTTGTGTGGTTGATACGGTAAGAATAAATAAGAATGATTTAGAGCCACACAAACTTTATCGAATATGGTATGAAGCAACTTTAGTGGGATTTCCCGAAAAAGTAAAACGGGACAATAGAAGGGGGACAAAGTGAGTATATCTTATTAATGATGTTTTCAATGTGAAGAAATAAATTAGTAAATTGTAAAAATGATCCATTTTCTTACATTTTAATGTGACGAAATAATGAGTAAAATGTATGATCTTACTAATAAATTTACAAATACTTATTTCATACCATGTTGAATGAGAAATATTTTAAAAAATAGTATTTTGAGATGCTGTTGGGATATTGGGTCCAGGCCCAATATCCCAGGCCCAAATTATGGAAATACCAGGGGAAACAGAAGATCCAAAACGGTCCAGGCCCGTTCGGCGTTCGGCTCATTACTTACACTTGGAACATTTCAGGGAACAAATACACCTACATCCCTGATGGGGTACCGCACACCGATCGGCGTTCGGGATATTGGCTCTCAGGATAACAATGATAGGGTATCCCAATATCGAACATCCTACCCAAACGGGCAGTCAATAAGTGGATGCTGCATTTAATGCTAAAGTATGGCGGTAGCAAGTGGAAGCATGGGTTCCTACGTGGCATGGGGAACAACTTACCGGATTCAGCCACGTGTCCAGCTTTCTCATCCCCATTTTACTATAAATACCTGCATTAAGATCATTGTAAAGAGTTAGCATTTTAATACTCAGAGCTTAGCAAGTAGAAACACTTCTCTTATTATTGTATTCTCGTATTTACCACCCGTTCGGGTAATTTCATTGTAACCATAACATTACTGAATACTAATAAGCTCTTGGAGTAATCATTATCTCACTGTTTTATATTTTAAACACCTTTCTGAATCAACCCCAAACGTCCTTAGATACCCAAAGCGAGTGTTGGGCTTTCGGGTCTTTGGGATAAACCTCAACATTGGCGCCGTCTCTAAACCTTTGATCTAAGCACCATTTTTCTTGAAATGGCTAGAATTACTACCGCGATACCAAGTTCTACATCCAGGGGTCGAAGATGCAACGGATCTTCTGAGGGGTGGTCCATGCAAGGACAAGCCAGTGGCAGTGCCACCCAAGAATTCGAGGGCATCATCCCTCTGGATGTGAGGAGGAACCCTCAACTGATGAGGGAGATGGCAGAAGCTATGCAACGCATGGCGGATGAACAGGAGCAGGGATACACCGATGAAACTCGTGAGCCATTATCCCCTGTTCGTCCCATGCCATCATTCGACGAAGAGGAAGACATTGAGACCACCACGGCCTCAGTTCATTCCGAGGAGCACCGCAGGAATCACTGGAGGGCCCATGCCCCCAGACGTGGACAAGCACCAGCCAACCAAACCCCGTTCGTACCTCGCAACGAAGCCCAATACAGGGAACCTACCCCCATGGTGAATCCCGTTGGGCAACACTTCCAATATGTCGAGAGGGATGGGGAACGTTTCATTCGGAGGAGGGCAAACACTGCAGCCCCCCCCCCCCCTCCCCCGAACAGGACGCCGGAGTTTGTGGAGGCAAGGATACCACAAACTCCCCGAACGGCACAGGAAGAGGAAATTGCCGAAATGAGGAGGCAAATGGCTGAAATGAGAGAACAGATAAATCGGCCGCCCCAGCAAACCCCGCCAGCACGGGTTGGGATTACTTCTCCCTTTTACCAGGGAGATCATGAACATCGAGATTCTGAGGGACTGTCGTCCCCCGGCCGGCCTAACATACGATGGGGTGGGAGATCCCCACGTACACCTGAGGAGTTATCAGGGTGGCCTCATGCTATTAAGGGCCACCGACGCAGCAATATGCAGGCTGTTCTTCAGCACCCTTCGGGGACCAGCCCAGGAATGGTTCGGGACATTACAACCCGGATCGATCGGAAGCTTTGCAGAGCTATCCACCTTATTCTTAGCCCAGTTCGCCTCCAGCACAACCCCGAAACTACATTTCGGGTACCTGACCAGTGTGAGGCAGGGGCCTAAGGAGTCAATCACCGACTTCCTAACCAGGTGGAGGACCG